TCTTGCATTTTTTAACAAAAATACCTGTACTTTCTACTTCTTACATTCTGACACAAATACCTGTACTTTCTACTTCTTACATGTTGAACTCAAATACCTGTACTTTCTACTTCTTACATGTTGAACTCAAATACCTGTACTTTCTACTTCTTACATTTGAACACAAATACCTGTACTTTCTACTTCTTACACTTTGAACACTAATACCTGTACTTTCTACTTCTTACATGTTGAACCCAAATACCTGTACTTTCTACTTCTCACATGTTGAACACAATACCTGTACTTTCTACTTCTTACATTTTGAACACAAACCTGTACTTTCTACTTCTACATTTGAACACAAATACCTGTACTTTCTACTTCTTACATGTTGAACTCAAATACCTGTACTTTCTACTTCTTACAGTTGAACACAAATACCTGTACTTTCTACTTCTTACATTTGAACACAATACCTGTACTTTCTACTTCTTACATGTTGAACACAAATACCTGTACTTTCTACTTCTTACATGTTGAACACAAATACCTGTACTTTCTACTTCTTACATTGAACACAAATACCTGTACTTTCTACTTCTTACATGTTGAACTCAATACCTGTACTTTCTACTTCTCACAGTTGAACACAAATACCTGTACTTTCTACTTCTTACATTTGAACACTAATACCTGTACTTTCTACTTCTTACATGTTGAACACAAATACCTGTACTTTCTACTTCTTACATGTTGAACACAAATACCTGTACTTTCTACTTCTTACAGTTGAACACAAATACCTGTACTTTCTACTTTTACATGTTGAACAAGTACCTGTACTTTCTACATGTTGAACACAAATACCTGTACTTTCTACTTCTACATGTTGAACCAAATACCTGTACTTTCTACTTCCTACATTTTGAACACAAAATAACCTGTACTTTCTACTTCCACATTTTTGAACCAAATATCTGTAACTTTCTACTTCTCACATGTTGAACTACAAATACCTGTACTTCTACTTTCTTTAACATGGTTGTTTTTGAACTCAAATACCTGAACTTTCTACTTCTTACATGTTGAACTCAAATTACCTGTACTTTCTACTTCTCACATGTTGAACTCAAATACCTGTACTTTCTACTTTCTTACATGTTGAACTCAAATACCTGTACTTTCTACTTCTTACATGTTGAACTCAAATACCTGTACTTTCTTACTTCTTACATGTTGAACCCAAAATACCTGTACTTTCTACTTCTTACATGTTGAACCCAAATACCTGTACTTTCTACTTCTTACATGTTGAAACTCAAATACCTGTACTTTTACTTCTTACATGTTGAACTCACAATACCTGTACTTTTACTTCTTACATGTTGACTCAAATACCTGTACTTTCTACTTCTTACATTGTTGAACTCAAATACCTGTACTTTCTACTTCTTACATGTTGAACTCAAATACCTGTACTTCTACTTCTTACATGTTGAACTCAAATACCTGTACTTTCTACTTCTTACATGTTGAACCCAAATACCTGTACTTTCTACTTCTTACAATGTTGAACTACAAATACCTGTACTTTCTACTTCTCTCATTTTCCAAAACAGCCAGTTCCTTTAGTCTGAATGTGTGTTTGATGCGTGATCATTATTCTTTAGAGTCATTGTGTGCCTATTGATTTGAACACGATCCGTGTATCCATCATTTCCTGGTCTTCTCTAAAGAAGAAGGACCAATGGAAACGTTGTCATGTTGCTGTTGTTCAGCATGGAAACATTCATTAGCTAACAATGACATTATTGTTCTATTAATATAAAGGGAGGTCAGGTACTCTTTAAAACAGCTGCTAGTTATGGGTACTTTTTACTGAAGTACATTTCAAAGCCTCTTTACTTTGACTTGAGTAAAGAAGTTTAGTCAGTACTTCTACTTTCACCAGAGTATTTTTAAACACGAGTATCTGTACTTCTACTTGAGTAAAGGATGTGTGTACTCTACCATCTCTGATTATGTTTTGGGGGCTTGAACAGGATTGTACATGGAGAGTTCGATAAAGAGTCGAAATGTGTTGGGGAAGTTGTTCTTGTTTGAAGTGGAAAAGGGTTAAGAGAGTAGTTTGGTTCAAGTTGTCTCGACCAAAAGAAACTGAACAACAAAACAGCATGGAATGTTTTCAAGATCTTGCTGGCTTTTTAAAAACAAACCAAAGAAAGTTAACATGACGATAAACAAATGGATGGAACGGGTGGAAACCTCTTTAATTTGACAGTTTCTGGGAAATAAAGAAGTTCAAAAGAACACCTTTAAATATTCAACACCACTCCAATCTGCATTTAAAGAAAGTTGTTTCCCGTGTCCGAGCAACTCATGAATTATTTTCTGGCTTGTTCAGAAACGCTTAAAAGGTCCCATTGCATGGTCCTTTCTACTGATCATAATACCATTGTTGAAGGATATTACAATAGAAAAAATACTGTGGCATTTTCCAAACTCAGATTGGTTTCTCATAACATTATCTCTGTAAGTATGAGTTTTCACATCCCTGTGCTAAACGGCTCGATGGAGTTCCTGCCCCCACCCTCCTGTGCGTCCAGGGTGCTCCGATTGGTCAGCTCTGCCACTCTGTTCTGATTAGTCAACCACCAGAGAGGCTCTGCCCCTGTTGACATCTGCCGTAAAGTGGTTTAGCGGGTACTTAGCAACATAGCAATACTAGATTTGAGAATCGATAGATAGTGTATATAGATAAATAGATAGCTTACATATAGCATAACAATGGCGTATGGGAGCATACAATTTCGAACCTCCTTTCGATCCTAGAATAGACCAAATCGCGAGTCTTGCCTCGCCATTCACTAGAGCAGACCAAACAGTGTCCATTGTGGTACGTTTTTATCTAGTATATGTCTTACATTTCAGATGTCATCAGATGTACCTACAACTGTTGTTTATTTAGGTGCCGTTGTGGAAACTGCGCTTTGATGCCAAGTGACGGAGAAAACGTGTGCTGCAATAGCATAAGAAAGGTAGCCTAGCTTAGTTACATTATGTCGGCAGCTAGCTGAAAACACCAACAGTAGCACACATATACCAAGATATACAGCATACATATTTTTCAAGTCAATAGATCTATTAATGCACTTTTATTACTTCCTTAGTAATTGAATGTTATTTTGTAAACCTTTCCCATAGTTGGTTTAATTGCTAAACGTGTTTTGTAACACATCTTACCTTCATAGGTTGTAACACGCATGCTGCAAGTTCCAGAACCCATTAACTGCATGGTTGACCACCCAGGACTAGAGCCTAACTGCTTGAACCCATACACCCTGCAGAATCTCCACATATTTATAAATACAGTTTCGGACCTTTGACAAATACAAACGGAAGAAGAGTAAGTTATTGTTACCTGTAATAAACTACTACTGTTTGATGAAAAATCAAATCATGGTTTGCTATATGAATGATATGTTATAGGAGCAAATAATTCAGGAAAGAAAGGCTACTAAGTATTCCATCAAACTTTATTTTTACAAATGTACAAAATGTGTGATGTACATTTATACACTGTACATCATCCATTCCTCTCCTGATAGGCGTTTTCGATATCTTGCGTATCGCAGCTTTGTAAGCTGGTGCTGGGGATATTTAGGGCGAGGCATCAGAGTGGTGATTCCGTCGTGTGTTGTGCTCCGGATCCGCCAGGAGTTTCCAGATCTGGCTGGACAATATGTAGGATTTCGACCTCCTTTGGGGGGAAACGGGAGAAACGGCTGACAATCATTTCCTCCTTGGGGGGCCTGTCAAATTGAGTTGACAGGTCCTCTGGGACGTGGATTCGTTTCAGCTCGTCCAGAAAGACTTTGTGAAACACAAGCCTCGTCAGCTCATCCACAGACTGAAAAAGAAAGCATTTTATAAATAATTGTTATTGTTATTCACTTTTTGTATTTAATGTAATACTTTTATTATTCATTGTATCTTTAATCATTTGAAATGTAAGTTCTGTTAATAATAATAAAAACAAATATTTCACAACTTACTGTATGTAGGGTCGTTCTTAACAGGCTTGACCGTACACTCTCCCCTCTTTGATTTTGGATAAGCCAATTTGAAGTTTTCCTGCAGCAGTTGTCGCTTGGTCACGCCCAGCATTCTCGTTGTGATGCATTGCTGCTAGACACAACCTATAGAATAGCAAAATAAAATGAGACTTTGTTTTATGACAGAATAAAACCCTCATGCCACTAAACAGTGACTGTGTTATAAGATGCTAAAGAATAAAGTATACAGTGTATTACCTGCACAACATTTCAATGAAAAACGCAGAATTAAGTTGTGGAAGGACTCCAGGGATGAGGTCTGATAGTGATGGCTTAGCTTTAGCACATCTTTGAGAACTCTCTTGTTGGAGTATCGTTTCAACTCTGGCGAATGTTATTGAGCCTTGAGTAAAATGACAAAGACATTAGGTAAATCACCAGCACATTAGAACATTACAACAATAATTTGCCATAACAACAATGTTATATTTACATTCTATATTGTTGATCTTATGAAGGAAGTGAAATATTGAACTTACCACCTTTTAGGTAAGGTTTATTTGCATCGCTTGCGGCTCCTACAGGATGTGTGCTCGTCACACTCCAGTAGACATGACTTTTTATGCTGCGCAGCCACCTCTTCAACTTCGTGTCACAGTCCTTGTTCTGTGTAAGTTTCAGAAGTTTCTTGGACAAACCTGATAAAAAAAAGCACATGCACAAGTTAATATTCAAGCCCTAGTGTGGAAATGACGTGCTGTGATGGACAACATTCAAGGGTGTGGTGGAAATTCCACACATATGCTAACCTAATATGCAGTTGAACAGCTAGTCTAGGCTTAGCAAGAACATCTTACAATTGCAATATTATACAGTTAGTCTGTTACGTTCGGTCATTCATTGTAGCTGGCATGAAAACAATGTTTTTCATAACATCTCTAGGTTAGAGCTTCTAGCTTAGCTTATTAATGGTAGCTCGGTAGAATACACGAACGGCAACTGTAATTACTGACCGTACGGTTAAATCACCCGGAGTATACTGTCTATGAGTATTTCGTGTGTGTTTGCAGACATTCTCCTGCTATGAGATACATGTAAGGCCATGTGCTAACATCGGTGTTGAGGTCTGGGAATGCTCGTTAGCCCTCGTGTTTACCTCGGTAGCATAGCATTAGCATAGCATAGCATTTACACAGTCGTGGTAGATACATTGTTTGTTTTAAACAGAATAAATACACAAACCACAATGAATACTTACAGGTTGTGTACCCGAATCTCCCGCTGGTCCAAACAAAGTAGGAATAGCATCGTCCTCCAATATCAGCTTTGCAAGTCCGAAGCTAAACATTGTTACGTTTTTAAAGCTTTGGTCCGTGAAATGCCGCGCACACACAACAGTACCGGCTGGTAAATCAGCTGGAACAGTGTTAAAAAGGAATGTCAACCACTGACTTCGTCGTGGTTCTGCCTTCGGTACTGCAAACATTGTGGATTTCTCCACACAAGACAGGCAACAGACCCTCCGCGACATGACTGGATAGAGCTTTGAAACATTGGGTAAACAATGGAAACTGAGAAATCTCCAACGAGGCTTTTGGGGGAGGTCTTTTCTGTTTTAGAGTTTTACTCCCTACAGGGTGTACTTTGAGGGGTTTTGACTTTGCAGACTGTTTACATGCATGGACACCTTCATAACACACAAGGAGACGGGTAATAACCGGAAAAGCATGCAATGGGCCCTTTAAAAGTCTTGATTTAAATTGTGTTCTCGAAATTAAGTTTTTGTTAATTTCATGTGTCTTTGTGGTCTTTTTGTGTTTCTCTGTGTTTGTTTTTATAGTTATTCCTTGCCTCTTTGTAGTCACCCTGTTACCTACGTTTTTGTCATTAGATGTCTCATTGTTGTCATTTCGAGGTCATTTTCTGTGTCTTCATGGTCATGTTACCTCGCTGTTTTGTATGTTTGTTCCTTTGGGGTTGTTTAGTGTCTGTGAACTTTATTTTGTAAAACTTTTCACGAGTCATTGTCACTATAATCCTACAAAGCAAATAACATACTAACATTCTAAGTAACAGAAACTGTTTAACACGTAACGGCTGCAATGTTTAAAGGAATGCTCCACTCATTAGATAATTAATCAAAACGTCAGTATTTAGTGAAACATTATGTTTAAACCATACCCTGAAGAAATCAGCGATATTCCCCGGTAAATAATGATTGTATAGCTCTTTTTTTATCAAAACCTGTATATTCCGTCAGGCCGCTGCCATTTTGCCCATTTTCAGTAGTCACGTGATGGTCGTGACGTCATCCATGCGTTCACTTCGTAAACACCATATACAGTCTATGGTAAACACACGAAAACATGGCGAAGTTTTGAGCAATATGAAGAGATTGGAAGGGGGAATTCAGCCATACAGGTTCGAGCCTACTTAGTACTACTTAGTAGATACAATGATTTTGATTACTAGATATGTATGCATGTAGTACCACCCTTGCTAGCGATTCCCTCTCTAGTTTAGCATACTCAGCCTCGTTGTCCCTGGCCCTAGAACCACGATTTTATGGGGCCGGGAAAACTGGGGGGAAATACCCACTAGCCGGTACTACGCTATATGGAAAGGCCACCAAAAACTGGCCTGGCCTGGACGATAAAGGACGTTTAAACGGGGCTACCCGCTGCCATGGAAATGCGCTATAACATACCTTATTCTTACTCCGAGCACTACTTCTGGTCCTCCGTCGCTTCACACTTGCAGAGGGCGATTTCTCAACTGGCCGAACTGGTGTCCTGGTCGGTGATGACACCAGAAAGACCGATGGTACTGCATCTCCATTAAGTAATGGTTGTTCAATAAATCCCATGTTATGTTTGATCATACTCTCAGAGTAGTCGTCCGGAAACTTGAAATGTTCGCTGCATACATGCGCCTGTGGATCTTTCGGTTCGGGCCGGCCGCATTTCGCTAGCCACTGCCTCCGAACGTACTTCCTACGCTTACCTTTTGGCAACAGATGGAACCGAGCATTCCGTGGATTGTTCCTATCAGAATTGTGGCAATGTTTCGCGATACAATGAGGCATATTTGAAGAGAGTAACTACAGTAAATAACATGAACATCAACGTGTCCTCGAAACCAAACGCATGGTTTACGTCACGTCCGGTAAAATGGCGCCGCCCACAGTGTTGATGTTATTTCGGTAATTAATCAGTTTAAAATCACTGATAATGTCATCGGATTAAAAAAAAAAGAGAGAGAGACTGGCAGAGACTGGTCTGTTTTATCGGATGATAAAAAAAAATTAAATGAGTGTCATGAGCATACCATTCCTTTAATAAGCGACCCGCCGTCTGAACATTATTCTCTCCACGGTTTCTATTGTGCCGGCTTTATGACTTAATTGTTATTTGAGTATGTCATTTATGATTTAATTATGAGCAAAGTAGACATGTATCTTAATGTGCAGCTTCTATGTCTCCCAGTAGGACTCCACTACCAACACACATTAACATTTAAACAGTCTTACATATTCTAACAGAAAAATGTCTAAATATTGCATATGCAGCGTGTATTTCGTGTTATAAGTTCTATGCCACAATGCATTTTCATCACCTCACACTAAATACTGCATGTCTGTAGCATTTAGTTGCTCACTAAAATGATCAAATAAAGCGTTTCTTGCCTTTAGACAATTATGTTTTACTGGTTCTGTGTTTACTTTATATTCACTGCTGTTTTTAAATCTGCACATAAAAGAAGAATGGATCGAACAGTGAGCAGCGCTAAAGCCAGCCGTGTAAATGACATATTAGTTCAGAATCCACACACACACGCACACACACCACACACACGCACGCACACATGCATGCACACACACACACACACACACACACACACACACACACACGTATTCACACACAGTTTGTGGATGCAATGAATAATTTATGTTGTGTGAATGTTGTTGGTTGAACACAGTTGAATGTAAAAACAGCCTGCAGGGAAATCACAGCGTAACGTTTCCTGTCTGTCAGTCAGACTCTCTCTCATTTAAATTCAAATATAATTTTTTTGGATGGACGACTATTAGACACCACATAAAAAAACAAGAGGGAATGAAAAGGACAACGTGTAAAACGCCAACACAGTTTAACCATACGAAGCATAAATATTCAAAATTAAACTACAGAGGAAGGCGTCTTTGCCTACAAACGAAAATATGTACATACTCACTTTGGAGAGGAACATGTAAGGACGTTTTGTGAACATCTGTATTTCTGTATTGGATGTTTTTTTTACAGGAATATATTTTATTGATATTTCTAAACAAGAGTGTAAATTGTGCTTCCTGTTGTCTGTAGTAGTGTAAGAAGTATCGTCAAATAAGTCAATGATGTGAGAAAGTGTGAAAAGAGTTTTAAGTGAAGTATTTCCATCCAAATTTCTAGAAAATGTGCAAAAGAAAATACAAATAATGCATTTTTTCTACTGACTTCCCATAAAAGATAATTGCGAGTGTTTTGTTTTGTTATTTCGGATACTAAAACACTTTTGAAATAATGAATGAAATAAAGTTATTTGAGATTTTTCTGTTGCATTTTGTTTTATCAATGTAAAAACGTTTCTTCCTCAGTTGAGCGTTAAAACATACTTTTACAATATTTACTTTTATTCAAATGTATGCTGTTGTTTTCACTTTTTCACATATTGAGAATATGCATAAAAACAAATGGGTTTATGTCAAGATATTCATCAAATAGCTCCCATTCTACAAACCTCTCCTAAAATGAAACCGCGTCACACGAGTGCACGATGTTTTATTCAGATAACACGAGATAACTGGTTTGTTTTTTAATCCCCTTTAGGGAAATCCAGTTGTAGCACAAAGAGAGAAATTCATTCAGATTGAAAGTGGAAGAAATAAAAGAGTAAGAAGTGAATAAACTAAAATAAGAATAGAATAAAAATAGCAACTCGACATCATGATTAAATTATGGTACTAGTAATGTTAAAGACTCAATATAACAAAATACAGATTATAATACGGTACTTTATTATATAATATGGGATGTATTATAAGGTGTTCATGTATAATAATATAGTATAGTGTGACAGTGCATACAGTTGAACATAGGATTTGCACCTTTTATTTTTTTTCATTCTATCACTTGTTATGGAGTCGAAAGAGATGAGTTTTCAGTCTGCGCTGGAAGGTTTGCAAGCTATCTGCTATCAATGGGGAGCTCATTCCACCATTTTGGAGCCAGGACAGCAAACCCACATGTTTTTGCTGATGGGAACTTGGGTCCCCCTCGCAGCGAGGGTGCAGCGAGCCGTTTGGCTGATGCAGAGCGGAGTGCACGCGCTGGGGTGTACGGTTTAACCATGTCCTGGATGTAGGAAGGGCCAGATCCATTCACAGCATGGTACGCAAGTACCAGTGTCTTGAAGTGGATTCTAGCAGTTACCGGAAGCCAGTGAAGGGAGCGGAGGAGCGGAGTGGTGTGGGAACATTTAGGAAGGTTGAAGACCAGACGAGCCGCTGCATTCTGGATGAGCTGCAGAGGTCGGATGGCACATGCAGGTAGACCAGCCAGGAGGGAGTTGCAGTAGTCTAGGCGTGAGATGACGAGAGCCTGGACCAGAACCTGAGTCGCTTTCTGAGTCAGGAGGGGACGTATCCTCCTGATGTTGTAAAGCAGTGGTCACCAACCTTTTTAAGCCCAAGATCACCGATCTCGGCCTAGGTGAAAGGCGAGATCTACCTATTGCAGAATTGAGTGAAAAAGACGGCCCAGACAGTGCTTCCAATTTGAGGCCTTTTAATCTAAGGCTAATTGCATCTGAATGACTGTTACAATGAAGGCTCCATAATCAGCTCACAGCATATAGGCAGGGGTAAAGTGCTATTTTTTATGAGTGGGGGAGGGACCTCACCTCCTCTAGGGGGGTCCCCACCTCCTCTAGGTCCTAACCTCCTCTAGGGGGTCTGGGGGGATGCTCCCCCGGGAAGATTGTTTTTAAATATTGAAGTTGAAAGCATCAATCTGGTGCACTTTGAGAGCAACATGAAGAGATCTATGGATACCTCTCTCAACACCCAGATGAAACAGAACTGTAAACAGATGTTCTTTTTCTTTATGGATATTTTACAAATCACTCTCCTTTCAAACTGTATTCTTGTTTTACTGCCATATAGTATGTCATACCTGTTTTTCATGTATTCTCTTATTGTTTGTATAACTATAATGATCACATGAAGGTGTGCCGCGGAAATAATCTTTTCAATAATCTGTGACAAAACCGTTCTAAACACTCAGAGAGTCCTTTAGCTCACCTGAGCCCCTCAGTCTGACAGGGGAGGACTCTCCTCCAGCTTGTTGTGGAAAACAGCTCCTTATGTCCGTTAGTGGCAGCTAGCTAACCAGATGCTAACATCACGGTCCCCGCTAGCACCGGTCCCATCTCTCTCCCTCTCTCTCTCCCTCTCTCTCTCCCTCTCTCTCTCTCTCCCTCTCTCCCTCTCTCTCTCCCTCTCTCCCCCCTCTCTCTCCCTCTCTCTCTCCCTCTCTCTCTCCCTCTCTCCTTCTCTCTCCCTCTCTCTCTCTCTCTCCCTCTCTCCTCTCCCCTCTCCTCTCTCTCTCTATCACACTAAATGTGCTATTGCCACACACACACAGAGCCGAGTTTGAATGACACAAGCACACGTGTATTTCCATGCAACTCTCTGATTGGTCTGGTGACTTGCCTCTGTTGCATTCACTGAACACGGGAAATTGCAGTCCTGCCGTCCTCTCTTGTGTCATGATGAGCTTCACGTAAAGCACGGTTAATGTATTATATTATTGAGGTGTCTCAAATATACGTCAATCAAGTGGCACCTGCTAACGGGGTGGTGGATGATAGGTTTACATCTAAAAACGTATTTTTCAAACATTATTATTTTAATTTAATTTTTCTTACTTTTGTTACTTTTTTTTTAACGGTCCGTGATCTACCCGCACCACACTCGCGACTGGTTGGCGACCACTGTTGTAAAGAGTGTATACACAAATACACAATTCATTGAGTGTCGTCAGCGTAGCAATGGTATGAAAAACCATGCGGGCTAATGACAGATCCGAGCGAGTTTGTGTACAGGGAGAAGAGGAGGGGACCGAGGACAGAGCCCTGAGGGACCCCTGTAGTTAATTGACAAGGG